ACTTTTATACTTTTTAATAGAAATATCAATTTCTGTAAATGATAATATTCTGTCTCTCGAAAGTGTTTGAGATGAATTTTGGAAAATATGAATGACGTGTCTTGTTGTACAAGATGTATTTCAACCTCAAATGCATATCTCGTTTCGAGGTAGATTGGTATATATACATGTAGTTACAATTTGCAGGAACGTTATTGCCGCCAAAGGTATAAGAGAGCGAGAGCGAGAGCGAGCGAGCGAGCGAGAGAGAGAGAGAGAGAGAGAGAGAGAGAGAGAAAGAGAGAAGTAAAACGGAGCAGCGTCTTACTCTCCGCTTTTAGCATAGCATGGTTATTAAACATCAAGGAAATATCCTTGACGTTTCTCAATGTGCTTTTTGCCCCTTACACAAATGTTAATCCACAGATGAACGTCAAGACGTGGCTGTAATGCATGTACGGATGCACGCTCGGTCTTTGTCTGGTAGTACGAAGATTTCCACTTAAAGCTCATGATTTAATTCCAAGTTAATATCAATGTTTTAATCTAAAGACAAAAACGTTATTACGCAAAACCAACTTGAATTCCTGAAACGAGAGAGCATTATATTATCGCTAAGATTTTATTCCGTACTGTTCACTTTTAAGATTTTAATTTAACGCCGTCCGTTTTCGGCATGTACTCGTAAATTTACATGCGTACTCGTATTAAATCCGATGTAGTTGGGAAACTCATTGGAATTTCAATGTGAAAGCAAGCGATTGATGAAAAAAGTAGCGTCGCAGAACACTGTTTTTTCCCTAGATTATCTACAAAGCGTTAATTTGTAACGCGTTTGTACGTAACGCTCGAAATTAAGGATCAGGATTTTGCAGAGATAAACTATTCATGTGATGAAACTATTCATTTGTCGAGACGAGAGAAAGTTAACTAAAGAACATTTTTGCTTTTCATGAATTATCCACAAAGTCAGGTTGCTACGATACAGAGTGCAGACGGTTCTCGATACTTTTGCTAGTAACCAGCTTCAAGCATTCGCCTCAAGTAAAATGGTTTTTTACTTTTTACTCCTTGCAGAGCCACATACCTTTTCCGGTACGACGACGCAGTCATCATCAACTCGAGAGTAGGAATTGAGGAAAGTCTTGACCTCTTTGCGTCCGACTTATACGCTTACTCGTACTACTTTTAATCCGCTGTGGCTTTCCTTACTTCGGCTAGTTTTAATTTTGGGATTACACATAGATTTTCATATATATGGACCTTTCAGACTGGATATTTTTAAGTATAATAAAAATACATATTTATTTTTTCAGTAGACTGCTAGACATCATAGAATATGAAACATAAATGCAGGGATGGAAGGTTACTTTTACCGTTATTTCTATCGTTCTTCTTAAAATAACGATTTGATAACAATATTGCAATTTTTTTATAACGATAACGATGACTAATTAAAAGTTAAGTTTGGGAATGTCACTTTTGAAAAGTGACTTGTCATCATTACGCATTATTTATTGAAAAAAGTAATTCATTACTTGTAATGCTTCGCCTCGGTTACTTTTAAAAGTAACAAATCGGCGCATCACAATTAATGAATTACTTTTTTAGTCACTTCACTTTTTAAAAGTTTTCAGTCTTAGCTTTTAGTGAGTTATTGTTATCGTTATAAAAAATTGCAATATTATTACTAAATCGTTGTGTTTTAAAAGTAACGGTAAAAGTAATTTCCCATGTTTGCATAAAAATGATACAAAATTAAAATTTAAATTTATTTGTTATAAAACCTAGACTATATAAACGTTTAAACAAGATAATTTTTTTAGATCGCATTTTTATTCTTTTTTAAATTCTAATCGATATTTGCCCCAAAATTTCCATAACTGTGTTCGTAGGTTTAGTGTACTTTAAATTAAAATGTATCTTTGCTTATAGTTAACATAATTAATAGATGATAATAATAATAAAATAAAATTAAATGATTTTTTTTATGTTGAAAGTCAAAATCTGAGGAATAATATTATGTAACTTAAAATTACGTAAAGTTGTGAAAACATATTTGTTATAAACATTTTTTCAAAGTTTCGCTGAATTTATCTTATTGTTAATTGAAGGAAATGTTCAGATCTATTGAACTTGTCATATTCGATTAGGTTAAAGAATTTATGTGAAACGGTAGCTGATGTGCACTTCGCAATTTTTTTATATAGATTTGTTGGTAAACCTTTACATTAGAGGACATCTCTTCGATGACCGTGACATATGTTATAAAGATGAAGATACTAATCAACTTTTCCTTTTAAACTAATCGGCGATCTCTTATAATTACTAAGATATTTAGAGTACAATTTTACTAATACTTACTTTAAAAAAGGTAAAAATAAAATAATAATCTTTATCATAAAAAACAAACCTCGATAATCTCGATCTTGACATATGTTCGCAAAGTCATGACTAGTCCCGAGTGACCTTTAAAAGATTTTAGTTGATCACTGTTTATCAATGTTATTAACAAATAATTAACAAGTTCAATCCTTTTAGGTGACGTATACATTTTATGTATTAATTTAAATCTTCACCTTATTAGATAAATAAGTCTACAATA